TAGATACATAAATAAAACACAGTACAGCAGTTTACAACTGAAAAACACATTTCCACACAAACACACAAATGGATATTAGAGAATTTTAAAGGTAAAAATGCATGCAAAGAACTGACAAATTAAATTCATACTAAAAAGGAGAACTATGAGATGAGTGATTTCCACTCACCTCATAGTTCTAGCCGACCTGTGACAATGAGACTGTCACAGGTCGGCCCAGTAGATCGGGAGGTGAGCGAACACATACCAGGTTCGCTCACCTCTCGATCCTGTCACGGCTCTCTGCCGTGACAGGGGGGGGGGGCGGGATTCCCCCCTTGACTGGCGGAACGGACGGGGGAGGGGGCGGGTACAGCTGGCTCTGCCTCTGGATAGGCAGAGCCAGCTGTCACTCACGCAGCTGGGCGGATCCCGTCATCTACGTCGGGATCCGCTCCGGCGTCTTATACCGCGAGCTGTAGCTCGCGGTATACTGAGCTTAGGGTAATGGGAGGACGCTAGTTTGTGTCCTCCCGTTACCCTAAGGAGAACTATGGGGAAAAACACTGACCCCATAGTTCTCCTTTAAGCTATATGGAAAAGAATTGAGAAGCAAAAGGTTGTACTTACAATCCTTCCCGAAAACCGTCAATCAGGGCCTGGAAAAGTGGTTTATTATGCGGGATGGTCTGCAAAATGTTGCCATCTCCTGTAACATATCCAATTGCCCACTGACCAAGTCGAGTGCAGCTTAAACGAAAAATGTAACTGAAAAAAATTTTGAAACAAAATTACTAAAATGATAGGCAGGGCATAATGTAAAATAAAGTGGAACTAAAATTCTATATGAGCTACTCCCAAACTCTGTATATGCACAGAATAGTCAAACACTATAGCTAGGAGGAGGTAAAAGACTTTGCTTTCACACGGACTGATCAGGAGAGGATCCATGCACAAATCCTCTCCTGATCACAGCAGTACAGAGCGGATGTCACTGCCGTGTCCATCTTGCGAGGGATGGAAAAAAACTGCGTTTACCGGACCCCAGTTCTGTCTATGGGGAATCGGATGTAAACTGACATGTGTTAGCTTACATCAGATTACCCCCGATCTGGTACGGCAAAACGGAACACTGTTCTATTTGTTGCTCCGGACCTGCTACCAGGAGCAAATGGCAAAAGCCCTGTATGCTTCAAGTCAGAACTTTGCGGACTTTCTACCTGCTCCAAAATGCCTGAGTGGTCAATTGTCAAGCATGAGCATTGCCAAGTGCGAGAAGGGGAGTAACATGTTCCCCTACAAAGTTGCTCCTCTTCTCACACTTGACAATGCTCAAGTGTGAGAAGGGGAGTAAGGAAGTACTTGCAGAGTAAAGGGTCTTGGTCCTATGTCAAAATTCAAATATGGTGTCCTTAAGAATATGACAACCAGCAATTACGCAGTCTGTCGAGCTGGATGTGATATGTTTGCGGGCTGCTGTGTCCACTGTGCTGGGAATGGTGTGTGCTGCTGTATGGTTAGTTCCTACCTATGTAGTCTCTAAACTCTATGAACTGCTGTCTAACATATTATAAGGGGCTAATAAATATTCTAGAGAAGTCTAAAAAGGGCCTTAAGCAGACATGAGGCATTAGAAACAAAAATATAAAAAGGCACACCTAAAAAAGATCAAGCAACTCATTGTACCTGCAAGTCAGCTTTACTCGTCTGTAGATGACCAAAATCTGGGTTGTACTACAACTACCAGTACCCTGGTGGTAGGTGCCACCCTTTCTTGCCTCATATGCCTTTACTATTTGTTAGTAAGAGAGCAGAGACTGCTTCAGCAACCAGGAAGCCAATCTGTTATACCATTAGAGTGTGTCCAAGTGTACAACGGAGGAGCACAGGTGGTGTGAAGGTACACAGAGTTGCCTGCTTTTTGATGTTGTGGGACTGGTTTCTTTGGGTGGATTAGAACTCACCTCCCAGGCTTGTGGATGAATTTCTGAAGTCGAGCTTTGACTTCATCATATGTAAGAAAGGCCATGTAGCCAGGATGAGTGACAGCCAAACTATTCCAGTTTCTGAGAAGGGAAGACCAAGGCTGTGGCAAAAAAAAAATACAAAAATAAGATGAATTTAGTACAAGCAATACAATCCTAAATTAACCAAGGTTGCTGAATCTTGAGTGGGCTTAGACAAAGTCTCCAGCATAGCATCTAAGTGTATCTGAACTCAAAATCAAAAACTGAATATACTGTAGCTTACTAGTTCTTAGATGTGATGGCTTCATTAGTTTTATCTTAAGCTTTTTTCCCCTTTATTTTTACCCAGTGACCCTGCCAATAAATAACTTCCTGTCCCAGCGTGACAACACTTCCTCACTGCACTGCATCTAATAAGGAGTAGTGTTCTCACCCTGGGCAGCTATCCTGATTAATACCACAAACACCCCCTTCGCCTCCATCTCTAATACATGGGGGTGTTTGTAGTTCACAGAGAATTGCTGGAAATGCTGAAAACATTCTTGTTAGACTTCAGTTCAGGTTACAGGAAGTTACAGAATACTAGATTTCTGAAAAGATAAAACAGGTATTTTTCTGTACTTCGCCTGAAAAAAAACAAAAAAAACGTATGCAGCCACCAAAACTATGAACTGGAAAGCTGCAATATACACTTTTGTTATTGCGTTTAGACATACTTTAATCTATTCGCAGGAAAATATTCATAAACTAAAATTAGGTTCCACCAGTTTACCTGAAAAAGCCGAGTGAAGATATCAAACTCAAAAACAGAGATGTAATCATTGCAAGTGAGGTCAATGGTTGACTTCAGGGCCATGGCTTCCAGGCCAGAAGAGATAGGGTGGACTTCATGAAGGGCATGTCGGAAAATCTTCCAAGGGACAATAGTTCTTGGAGAAAAGAATACAATGTGTTTTATTCCCTTACAAAAGATGTATACAAGCACAAGTCAAAGCTAATACATGGTTTGTAAATATCATTGTTTAGCCAAGATTTAATATCCCCAGATATCTGCCATTTGTGCAGTTCAATTACAAAATTACACGATCATAATTAAAAAAAGATATCCACATGGCAAGCTTCCGTTTTCTACAGTATATGATAGAGATAGACAGGGCCTGAAAAATCCACTCGTCCGCTCGTCTGTGACGAGAGGACGGTGGAGCCCGACGAGCAGCTTCCCGGCCGGCCTTTGTAATTACAACGGCCGGCAGCTTTACATTGAAGCGATCGGGCGTCTCTAGAGACGCTCGATCGCTTGTAATAGCAGCTGTCACTGCCGTTGCCGGTCCCGAGATCCGCTGTGCCCGATGCGGCTGGGACCGGCACGGAAGAAGAAATAATGTCACCAGCACACCATAGTAGTAAAGTAATAATCCATTTAATGGCACATTGCCATTCGATGCAAGCGCTTTTGGGGGCCTCAGGGGGTCCCCTTCATCAGGCTCAGAATTGACTGCACCCTGCACTCTGTACAGAGGCTCCTCCCTCAGAAACTGGATTATAGTAAATAGTTTCTGAATTAATGGGAAGCCTCTGTGCTTTCTTCATTTAGAACAGAGGCTGCAGAAAAAGAGATTGAGGACTTTGTGTCCTCAATTTCTTTTTCTATTTTAAAAAGGGAAATATCAGGGGGCTGTTTAGACCCCTAATATTTCCTCAAAGCCCGCCCCCCCCTCACAGTAAAAAATTGCGGTCCAGTACGATTTGCAAAAATAATGCTTGCAGCATTTTTGTAGATCGTACTGGACCGGAACCCAGGCACTACGGTCTAGGTGCAGGCGATCGCAATGCGGGTGAGGGGCGTGGCTGCGGTGCCATTGACTTCATTACACCGCCACGCCCCCTCCTGCCCTTGAATTGAAAAGTAGATTTCCAGACGAAAAATTGTGGGCGCCCCTGATCTAGACACTATAAAGCAAGGTTGAAAAGGAATGTGAATAACCAACAAAAAAACACATCTAATAGAATGTATACATATAGAAAGTCCTGTATTAAATCTCGCAAGTGATGTTCAACTCCCGCTTAATCTACATATCCAGATGTGTAGTCCATTCCTTCTTAATACCATAAAGTCATTGAATGTGTGAAGATATATATCTTCCAACTTTTATAATCCGCACCACCTCGGTGAATGCATAAACAGTTTGTGAATCTGAGCAAAGAGCTCTGTGAAAGAGCACTGATTCACAAACTGTTAATGCATTCAAGGAGGTGGTGCGGATTATAAAAGTTGGAAGATATATATCTTCACACATTCAATGACTTTATGGTATTAAGAAGGAATGGACTACACATCTGGATATGTAGATTAAGCGGGAGTTGAACATCACTTGCGAGATTTAATACAAGACTTTCTATATGTATACTTTCTATGAGATGTACTAGCACAAGTGTTTGTTGTTTTTGTTTGTTTGTTTGTTATTCATTCTTTTTCAACATTGTTTTATAGCATTGGTTCTCAACCTGTGTAACCTCAGGACCCACATTTGTCCTTAGTTATTAAGTTATGACCCAAGTCGCACTGCAATGGAACGCACGGCATTAGGGTGCGGTGCGGGCGTACGAACTGTGGGTGAGAGGTGCGTTTGGGTGCCATTCAAATGAATAGCAACTCAACACACTGCCCACACTAGAATGCACAGGAGGGGCGATTGCACGGTATTATGCGACTAATGCACTGTACTAGTGTGAACGGGCCCTCAAAAACAATTTTTTTTTTACGGTCCACGCAGCCTCCCTAATTTACAAGAACTGGAGAGGATCCTCAGCCTGGAGTCCAGTGTGGGCTGCTGTGCTGTGATGGAGCTCTATCCATACGTGCATTGCTTGTACAGCTCCCTTGCACACCCTGTAGAGGTGGCGGGAGCCAGAGTGTAAATAAAAGTAAATCAACGGCACACACTTGAAGGGTTTTTAAAGTATTGATATGTTTATTCAATACCCAATGTCACATACTGTCATACGGTGCCAACGTTTCGGGTCCGCACAGGGATCCTTCATCAGAGCGACAGTGACACGGTGCCATCCGTGTGGTCACCTGGGCACCACATATACCTTGTGATTTTGAGACCGTGGCAGTGCGAATGGGATTTGGACTTTGTTGGCAGCCAGAGTGTGACGTCACTCCAGTCCAGGCACCTCTATAAAGACACGTGAGGGAGCTGTAAGCAATGCATGTATGGATGGAGCTCCCTCACGGCCATAGCCCCCGGCCCATCCAATCTCAAGCTGAAACTCTGCGCCGGGAAGCATATTTTGAATAGCTGCTTGGCGCAAGAACTGACTGTGCTGTGCTAGGGGGAGGCAGAGGAGCCTCTCACCTAAAAAAGTGGAAGGCACACGGCGACCCACTGAACACGGGGTCACGACCCATTTTTGCGTCACGACCCACCAGTTGAGAACCAAGGCTTTATAGTGTCTAGATCATTAGACCAAGAGTTTTTCTGAAATATTAGCATGAGTATTGTGCAACTCAGGTATTGTGGATAACGCTAACAGGTGTTTCATCACTTCCTGATAATGTCACATTTTTAAATCACAATTATTTCACATCTTAGGAATATATTTTGAGTTTGTTGAAGCGCTGTGATTTTTCTCTTTTCTTATTGTTGGTGTACTCACCTATTAAGCACAGCTGCTCTTAGGGCATGTTCACACGAGTTGCAGTGCGTTCCGGCCCGATTCTGTCCGCAACGCACTGCCTCGCATTGCGGCCGGCTCACTTTAGTGGGGCAGGAGGGGGCGTGGTGGGCCATTGAAGTAAAAGGCACCCTAGCCACGCCCTCCGACCGCACTGCGATCGGCTGCATGGGATCGCAAGGCACATTGTGCCTGCGGTCCGGTGCAGTGCAATCAAAATCCTGCAAGCACTATTTTGATCACACCGGACCGCAGGCACAATGTGCTCTTCCATCCCATGCGGCCGGAGGGCGTGACTACGGCGCCTTTCACTTCAATGGCCCGCCACGTCCCCTCCTGCCCCACTAAAAAGTGAGCCGGCCGCGATGCGAGGCAGTACGTTCCGGCCAGAATTGGCCCGGAACGCACTGCAACTGGTGTGAACGGGCCTTGGGAGTGTTAATTGATTCCTATTGCAGTTTATCTCTATTTAACCCCTTCATGACTGAGGCCTTTTTTGCACCCATGTTATATTCCACATTTTAGGCCTGAAAATGACTTAAAACCCCCAAACATTATATATTTTCTGAATGCCAAGTCCCTATAGAATAAAATGGTGGTAGTTGCAAATTTTGATGTTGAGCAATATTAGCGCAACTACTTATTAAACCCCCAACATTTAGTGAAAAATTTAATTAAATGCCCCAAAACACAACAAAATACCCTTTTTTTTTTAAAATGAAATATAAAAGATGGTTACAACGAGTAAACCGATACCCAACATGCCCAGGTTACCAATTGCGTGCGTCCGTGAAACGGCAAAAAAATGCAGTACCCCAAAAAGTCCATAGAAGACACTTTAAAAGCCCCCACAGGTCATCAATTTAGAGATACCCCAAAATACTGGCCCTAGAATGATTGCTCTCACTCCGGCGTGTGCGGCGATACCCAACATGTCTAGCGCGTTCTTCGTTTTCATACATAGGCGCACCCGACGCTTGTTTACGTGGCGACGCGCGTGCTGACGGGGGACTTTTAAATTTTTTTTATTATTAGATTTATTTTAATTTAAAAAACTTTATTTTTTACTTTAACTTACAAGCCCCCCATGTGATAGCAGATGGTGGTGACAGGTACTCTTTAAGGTGATGCTGGGGGTCCAAAAGACCCCCAGTGTCACCTTTACACTGGAAATAAGCTATTGAAGTGCAGATCGCACTTCAATAGCTTATAGCTGGGCAGCTAGCTCATGCAAGCTTAATAGTCTTAAAGGACTGGGTTACACCCTTTCCTACCAAGCAGTATAACCTGAAGGTTTAAGAACCCCTGTATCCCTCAATGGAAGAGAAAGAAAAAAGCATGTGCAGGATATTTATTAAAACAGGGTACCAAGTGAAAGTATTCTATATCCTTTAACTACTTGCTGACCAGGTGTTTACACCCCCCTTCCTGGCCAGGCCATTTTTCAGTATTTAGCGCTGCAGTACGTTGACTGACATTTATTCCTTCATATGACGCTGTACTGAATTGAATGTTATACCATTTTTGGGGGGATACATAGAGCTTTTTTTTGGTGGTATTTAATCACCACTAGGGTTTAATGATTTCGCGGGTGCGCGCAATTTTAAAGCTTGACATGTTTGGTGTCTATTTACCCGACGTGACCCCGACTTTTATATATTTTACCAAAAAACTGAGTAATAATAAATGTTTCCTAACATAATTTGAATGGCTCTAGAATTAATGTCCTCACTGCGACGTTCGTGACGATATGTAACATGTGCTGCGTAATATGCACAATCGTCATTTTTGTACGTATGCGCACCGGACGCATGTTTGTGCGCGTGTATGTATGGGTGGGGACTTTAAAATTTGTTTTTTTTTCATTCTTTTTCATGTGCTACTTTAATTTTTTTGTGCAACTATTTTTTTTGTTCCACTTAACTTTATTGTTATCACATAGGGGGCTAAGAAACCTGCCAATGTGATAGCAAAAGATGCGACAGGTCCTCTTTATGGAGACATCAGGGGTCTCCAAGACCTCTAATGTCACCTAAGAAGCTGATGAAGCAGAGCTCTGCTTCATCGGCTTCTCTCTAGCTTCTGTAGCTGGAGAGTGACAAAAAAATTTGGAAGTGATGTAATATACATTACTTCTGCATTCTGACACCAGAGGGAGAGATTGAGATTCTGACACCAGGGAGATTGTGTACCGATCTCCCTCTGAATCCCCTGTCACAGAGCCCCCATGCTGGTCCCGGGCTCGCACCGGGCACAGCGGAGTTCGGGACCAGTGGAGGGGGCCTTATAACCGGCAGATCGCTTGTATGTAAACAGGCATGGCTGCCTGTTTTGAAATTTAGGCAGTTTCCCGCGCGGTGCGCGCGAGTGGGCAGGGCCAACAGGCCACTCAGATCCAGGAACCTCCCAGCCGGCCGTTAAACAAACTTGTAATAATTACTAAGGTAGGGAACTGAGCGGGTATTAATGTAAAGTTACCTAATGCACAATGAAGCTTATAATTTTGGTCTTGCCCTCCCCCTTTAAAAATACCCTTCCAATACTGGCTTCCACCCACAGTGCGTATGATAGGGTGATGTCACAAACCTTGTAGCAAGATCCTGGGAACGTGTAGTATGCCATGCAGGAGCATCTTATTAAAAGGTTTGGAATTCTCTGCGCTCCCAGATCTTTCTAGGAGGATCTCCACATCACCCTAACCTTAGCACCATGGGCGGAAGTCAGTAAATGTTATATGTGCACAGAAAAGCTTTAGATTTTCTCACGACATGCTTGCTTTCTTTACCACTTAGTAGTGCTGCACAATGGTTGCAATTAATGACAATAATGGATACTGTCCACAATCGCCAGTAGCATTTTAGGGGCAGAGGCAATGATATTTTAGGAAGACAAGGATGACAAGAATACCAGTTCTGGTCCCGTTTCAAAATAAAATCTGGCTTAATCATGTGACTTCTAGTGTGAAACCTGAAGGTGCCTGGAAGAGCCTAACAAGAGAAGAGCACTCCTGCAAGTAATATGCTGGCAATAGCAGTTTATAGTAGAGCTAATGTCACCCAAAGTACCAGCAAAGAGGCAGCCTCTGAAAGAGCAGCCTCATAAATCATGCTCACACATTACAGCCTCTCTAACTGGCCTGTCTTCAGTCCAATCCGGAACTCTGACAAGGCAGTCTTACCCATCATTTTCGTGCCTCCAAATCATAAGCACTTAAAATTGATAAAACACATTCAATACTAAACATATTTTCAGCATAATGTACCCACAGACATGACATCAGCAACCCAGGCTAGTCTGTCTGTTGAAGAGGTCTATGGATAAGATCACCCAGACCCTGGCAGCTAGTTACTTCTGGGGGTGAATCAATGTATAGTAAAGAAAGAATAAATATGACTGCTTCCTTCCACCCAATATACCAGGACCAATCTCCTCTGCGCTGAAATAAACTTCAGCATAGCTGATCTGAATGGGAGCCGATCTGAATGGGAGCTGCCCAGGTCAGGAGCAGAGAATCAACAGAATTGCACACTATAACTAGAACGCATTTTACAGCAACCACATGAGGAACCTTTATAAAGCCAATGGACAGAGCAATGAAGAAGCAACCAGATTTGCAAGAATAGAAAGATTAGGATTGGCTGGTATGGGTTACTGGTCACATAGCACCGGAAGCTTCCTACTGCCATCATCAGGACGTACACTTTAGACCTTTCACATATATTTGAACATTTTACAAGTCCAGTAGGGTAAAACTCCATACTTTTCTCCAAAAGCTTTTCTCCAGAATTCAGCAGCATCAGCCTTTGTGATCCTGAAAGTATCCCCTTGGAACAAACCATTGGGAAAAATTCCTTTCAGCTCCGCTAGCATGTGACTGAAGATGAGGGATAATTTGGTCAGGTTGCGCCTAAAATGAAAACAAAAAACAAACAGTGTGAGTCTTCACCATTTCATACTTCAATATCAGATTTATGAATAAAAATACAAAACAAAAATATATATGGCTATAAGACAAAATACAACTCGTTTTCCTCCAGTATTCGTCTCAGAACATTTCTGTCAGAACACCTGCTGTTCTAAGATAGAACAGATATTATATATTAATATAATATCTGTTCTAAAAACTAACGGGGCCTTGCAAAGATGTCTAACTTCTACCTCAAGTATTTATTCACAGATTTCATGGTGCAGCTAAAGTAGATGTAAACTCTCATCTTTTTCGGTTTTCATAAAATAATTTACACCTTTTTTATAGATTCTCTCACTAGGGGCTATCTGCAGGTCTCATTGTGCAACTGATTGTTATCAAGATGCAACTGACTGTATCAGCAATACAACAGCATCAATAAGAACCATCAAAATGTCCAATAAAAGTAATCCTTTCTTCTGTACCTTTAAAACTAGAAGCCCCTGCATACTTTTGCATTTCTTTTGTCTTTGTAGATCATAAGAGGGCACCTTTTTCAAACCGTAAATAGAAAGTAAAATCATCTGCTATCGGCTCATATGGCCTTCTGATACGTTTCAATGGAATCAGGATAAGAAGGTGAGTAATTTTTATAAGCAATAGAAAACATTTGAGAAAAATGCAGTATTTTATGCCAAATAAAAAATTTTTTCATCTATGCTGCAGATCTTGCTTTGTGGCCACTTCCCATCTACATGCATGTGGACACCAGCTGCATATCCTTGGCCAGGGTCGGCCTCCAGATGGTGACAATAGCACAGCAATGGCACAACATGCCTACCCAATCAGCAATGGCATGGCTGCTCATAGTCTCTACTGGAAACGCATGTGACAGGATGATCATGCAAGAAGGGGAGAGTATGGAGACAGGAAAAACGTGCTGTCACCCTATAACAGTAAGTGCATACTTGCAAAGCTATGCGTCTTGTGGCTTTTCCAGAAGAAGGTCTCCCAGGTACAGTGATGAACCTGGGATTCTCTATGTCCTATATGTTTTAGCACTGCAAGCTTTACAGTCCAGAGCTCATAGGCGTTCCTCCCAGTCCTGTGTTCTCCTTTACCCATTGCTATAAGCTTCAATTTTTTTAGACAAATTTAAAAAAAGGTGACACTGAAAGCTACTGGTGCCAAGCTATGCGTGCTGATAACTCGTGACTCTGCAAAATACGAGTCCATGTTTTCTCCAGGCCCTGGTTACCCCACATGGTGGAATGGACACTGGGGAAAAAATGTCTATATACTGCTTGTATTGAGAGATACATTAGCTTAACTCTGCACTTAATACTATGCTAGGCAAAGCAAGATACGTTTTTCGTTAGTCTGCTAAGGGTTAAAGCAGCACTTCATCAGGAAGTCTCTCTTACAGTGGTTTGTGAAAATAGGGAGGTGTGAAGTCCCTCTGAGAACTTCCTTCTCACAAATATAGATACAAGACCAGAATGATCTGCCTGACAAAAAAAAAAAAAAAAAACACCTAGATCTGTGTGAATAAGCCATATTCACACAAAGCGGAATAGAGAGATGCAGTTGATGTGGCAAGCTAAAATGTAAAAGGCGTAATTCTCTATTTTTAACAGTTATTTTGAGCAATAAAATCTGAAAATAGTTACACGGCTGAAAATAAAAGTGTTCTAGCTTAGTGCATTAAGCCTATATTCTACAAAACAAAACCTGCAGACACAGAACCGTGTGCAAGCCAAAAGACATGAAGCATTTTCAGCATATGGACAATATTGAAATAAGTGGGTGGGAGGCCATGCTGATTTAGAAAAAGACTTCCCAAAGGCTAACTTCCATAACCCAGCATCACTGCCCCTCCACAGCAGAGCTAGAGAGAACGGCGGGTCCACAATATCCATAGTCACATAGAAAGAAAACAAATGTCTGCCCGCACACCAAAAACTGTACTGAAGAATTTATTGTAGCACACAGGTACACATCGTCCTGCCATGGATCCTCTTCACTCTTACATGTTAACTTAATAATGAGCTTAATCATAGAGATCAACTCCCAAAAGGCATTAATGAAAACGTGTGAGTGGGGGCCACTACAAAAGACCCCCATTTAATACTACTATGTATTAAAATGACTTTATAGGTATAATAACTTTACACATCCTTTCATTAGCACAGTCATGTGACGTCACAGCATTTAAGTAATGATGCTTGAGCGTTCTGTTCAGTAGTAAGGTGAGCCCAGGCTGGCGTGATGACACACTCCCAAGGAGTTTGTCCACGACGGCCTGACGACCATTCAACCCAAAAGACGACTGCCAATGGATCACACAGCAGTGGGTCTCCTGGGGAGAGCACTGGAGGAAGTAAGCAACGCAGGGAAAGCTGCTTTTTTTTAATTTCAAAGTGACACTAAACTCAGGAGGTAACTCTTAAAAATGCATTCACATACCCGATTATCAAAAATGAATCTTACTTGTGTAGCACTCGGCTGTAGCTCCTCAAATCATCTCTGAATTGGTGCTCACACTGTCGTTCCTTCTGAAGGGTGGCTACTTTTGTTCTCCATGGTCCCTGTGTGTGTTGTAAAGTAGTCACCGCTCCAAGCTCACTCACATGATGGACTACAATCTCACACTTAGTTTATTAATTTGTACTGAAATTAAAGGTCCATCATGGAAAGGAGCTTACAGCACACAAAGGGACCATGGGGAACAAAAGTAGCCGCCTTCCAGAAGGAAGGACAGTGTCAGCACCAATTCAGAGATGATTTGAGAATCTACAGCTGAGTGATACACAAATAAGATACATTCTGTTACTAGTAATGGCACTTGAATGTATTTTTAAGAATTTTATACACTTTTTATCCCATAGTTCTCTTTAGGGTCACGGGGGGACATATACTAACGTCCTCCTGTGACCAAATGCTCAGTATAAAGCGGACTATTGCTCATTATATACTGATAGCGCCACAGCCGGGACGGATCCAGACAATACAGTCAAGATCCACCCAGCTGGCTGATTGACAGCGGGCTCTGCCTATCTAGAGGCCGAGCCAGTTGTGCCCGCCTTCCCCCCATTCGTTCCTCCAGTCAGCACCGGAGGATCGGAGCGGGGAGTGGGGGAATCCCTGCGAGGAGCCGTGAGTGACAGTCACCGCTCTCTGCAGGGAGATGATCGGAAGTGAGCAAGTGACGCTATGTGTTCACTCACTTCCCGATCTATAGAACCGACCTGTGACAGTTTCATTGTCACAGGTCGGCTCGAACTGAAAATCACTCACCTCATAGTTCTCCTTTAACTCCTGAGTTTAGTGTCACTTTAAAAACTTGGATAAAGACAGTTACACATTTTTGGAAGGCAAGAATTCACAATTATGTATTTCAATTGCATTAGACTTCTTGTCCACACTTACATTGTTAAGGATATGTTCACTTATACACTTCTAGCACTATCCACTGTTACTCCCCGCTTCTCATGGTGTGCAATACAAGATAGATTAGGCCAAGCGTACGCAAACCTCAGCACTCCAGCTGTGGTGAAACTACAAACCCAATCATGCCTTTGCCTCTGGAAGCCATGCATGTGGCCGTCAGTCTTGCAAAGCCTCATGGGACTTGTAGTTCCGCCATAGCTGGCGTCCAGAGGTTGCCTACCACTGGTTAGGCTATACTTCACTGTAGCGCAGCTCCAATGAGATCTTCAGGGGCACACGTTTGTCCCAGAGTCAATTAACTTGAATGGAGAGCCCGCTTGCGGTCGGCCCTGTTTATATTCTAATCAAAATACGTATATCCTAACTGAGGAGTGATAGAATTTGGATGCTTAAAATTTTTTGAACCTAGTATCACTATAGAAAACGTTGCGCTGTGTAAGTACACTGAAAGCCGGCCGCTGTCAGAATACTCAAAGAGGCGGCAGCTGACTGGCTGCTGACTGTTTGAAGATTTTCCAGCCGGCTCCTTCTATCAGTTCATCAAGAATCGAAGCTTAAGTGTTTCATGACCTTCCCCC